CTGGAAGCAGTGGGGGGGCTGGGGGGGCAGGAGAGGAGCCAGCCCCCAGGCCCCCAAAGCAGCAGCAGCAGCAGGAGAAAGAGGAAGCCCGAGGTGGCGGTCCAGAAGGGATGGACGGGGCGGCTGCCTTCAGGGGGCTCTGCGGCCCATCCTGCCTGCCGGGCAGCTGGTCGGCTCCTTGCATGCCAAGGTCACGGTTGGCCCCGGCTGGCCTGTGAAGCCCTGGGCTCTGAGGGTCCCCAAGGCCTCTGCCCCAGCCTCATCCCCCTCCCCACCTTGCCCCCCTTTCCATCATTCACAACAGGCCCCTGGTTTACTCCGCTGCAGGGAGGGGGCACCGATCCGGACCGAAAACCTGGCTCTGCCACTGGAACCAATGGCAGCAAACATGCAGGGCTCTGGAGGGGAGAGAGAGAGAGAGATGAAGGGTGGGGGGGGGTCTGCTCTGACTCAATGGGGAACATGGACCCTGCGGTTGACGGAGGCGAGGGACGGAGCCCCACTCTGGACCCCACCAGATCACTCATGTTGTTGGAGCCCTGGGTCCCAACGCCGCTCGCCCAGGAAGGGAAACCGCCCCCCCCATTCCACCACCACAGGAGGGTGGCTTCCCAGCCTCCAGGTCTAAACCTCCCCCCCCCAGCACCCCCCAGGAAGGCAGGTCTCCCACCCTCCCAGGCAGCCCATTCCATGGCCAAGAAAGCTGGGGCTTCATCATCCTTGGCGTGGGCCCTCTCCGCTCTGAAGCGGTTTCCACAGGGCAAATATTTGGAGGCTGCCGTCAGGTCACCCCCTCCGCCTTCTCCCTTCCAGAGAGGTTCGTTTCCAAACCCTTCATCCTCCTGGGGTGGGGGTGGGGGGCAGGCCATCACTGGGCATTTGCCAGCCTTTTGGCCAAAAAGAGCCGGGTTGTTAAAAATGCCAACCTTTCCTGCAGAGACGCGCGGATCGTCTCTCACAGACCTGGAACACCGAATTTTGGACTCTCGTGGACAGTGTTTCTTCCTCCCGTTCACGAGGGAGGTGTGCTTAGCTGGAGGAGACGGATTTCTCCCACAAAGGCTTGCTATTGGTTTGCTTCTTTCGTGGTCCAATAAAGCGTATCGCCCGCTCCTGCATTACTCAAAACGGTAGGGACCGAAACTGGCGAGGCCTGACCAAAGCTTCCGGATATTTGCCTTTCTGGCTGCTGCATCCCATTGAATGTTTAGCTTGTGGTCTCCCGAGAGCTCGGGATCATTTGCTTATCTCTCGTTGATGGCCGGAGAGATCAGGGGTTGAGGTCTCTCTGGCTGCGAGATCCAGAGGTTGGGGGTTCGATCCCCCCCAGGGTGCACCTTCAGAGAGAAGAGCCAGCCTGGGTGGCCTTGGGGCCAGTTGCAAAGGGGGGGGCTGTCCCAGGGCAAACCCCCAAAAGAAGGGAAGGGGAAGCTCCTTCTCCGTCACTGCCCGATACCTGGTAAACCACGGAAAGGGCGGCCTGAACTCGGAGCCGACTTGTCGTCTCTCGGTACCTTCGTTTTCTTCCTGCCTGACCTGTGGAACTCCTTTCCACCCCCCTCAGTCTGAGGGGAACTGTCGCCCACGTGGGAAAGGACCCCCTGGGGGAACCCCTCCAGCACTTTGCCATGGGCGGGTTGTGAGGTGCGGGAAAGGAGGGTGTGCAAAACCCCAAAGCCCCCCCCCAAGGCTTTAGTGGACCGAAACAATCCAGGCTTTCCAAGACACTCGACTGGGGAGAACAGGGATGGGCTGCGAGGCGATCCTCAGACACCCCCCTCCGAGGCTCTGACATCCTCCAGAGGAGCAGGATCTTACCCCCACCCCAAAAGGACACACAGTCCAAGAGAGAGAACGCTTTTATACATATTGCAACGGCTTTCCAGAAAAAAAAAACATTCATTCCCAATAAATTAAAAAGGTCCATGTCCTGGTACGGAGTTTTAAAAAGAGCCCCCCTCCAGCCCCGGCCCGGTGCCCCCCCCATCCTCCCTCATTAGTGCAGGCCTGGCAGTGCCAAGCTGAGGAGCGGGGGACGCGGGGGGGGAGGGGGCCTGTGTTTCCA